ATTGCCTCTTTTCTTGAAAACACCCTTTTTCATGACTGTTGGCTCATACTTTTTCTGTTATCAACTACACTAGATTTCTCTAATCTTTTGTCATTTCCAACTAAACAGCTTTCAGTTAATATGAACTTTCTTATTACCACTCTCTAAGGATATGACCAAACAGTTGTATAATTAAATTTCATCTCATATCTTGCAGACTATTGCACAAAGTGACCTTGTTTTTCATACTTCTTTTGATGATGCTAACTTTATCAGCAAGCCTCATTTGCTCTCTTCAGCTAAGGACTGTAATGAAAATATTAACTATATTGGTCCCAAGACTGGTATCTGAACAACTTTACCTGTAACTTTCCTCCAACCTGACAATTTCATTTTCAGAGCAGGCCAATGTAATATCCTCTTTAACCATCTTAAAGTCTTTACACAAAATATATATACAACAAAATGTTTTGAATTATTTTTGAACATGTTACCTTTGGTTAGTCCATGAGGTGTTGTTTTTTTTTTTTTTTTTAGATTCATAGTCCATTACTTCTACATCTGTATTTTTTCTTAAAGAGTTCCATTAAACTTGCAAATAGCTAGGAACACACTAATGCTTTTATTGCTCTTTTCCTTACAAGGCACTGTAATGTAGAGGAGTCCTTGAACACTATTTAATGAAAACTGTCTGGGAAAATTAACTTTCCTAATGAAAAGGGAAATAGAGGCAAGGGCTCCAAATGCTTTCATGTGCCCTTCTTCTGAAATACACACTATCACTTACAATGAAAGCTTACTACACAAGTAGTGTAGAAACATGGGACACTTCTTTGAGTGCTCAAGGGAAAAGGTTAGATAACTTGGTTAGAAAACATTCAGTTGAGTTTTATTTCCACTCTGGATTATGCAGTTTTCATATTCTAGCCTTTATCCCACTAGTGTTGTAGGTTAGCTCCTATTTTCAGTACTATTGTCCTAGATGAACATTGACACAAAAGTTCAATCCAGTTATAGGGCTTTGCCTAGACTACTCCAAATCTCTAGGTTCACAGGACAGTAACTTTGTTTCTTCCCCTTATTCTTTTATTGGTGAATGAGAATAACATTGAGGGGGTTGTATTTACTTGTTTTGCGAAGTCAGACTCAACTTTCAGCAATTATTACTTTATTCCTAACTGTCCTGATTTCAGCTGGGACAGAGTTAATTTTCTTCCTAGTAGTGGGTATAGTGCTGTGTTTTGGATTTAGGATGAGAATAATATTAAAAAAACACACTGATGTTTTGGTTGTTGCTAGGCAACGTTTACATCAAGTCAAGGACTTTTTCACCCCAGCAAGTAGGCTGGGGGTGCACAGGAAGTTGGGAGGGGACACGGCCAGGACAGCTGACCCCAACTGGCCAAAGGGATATTCCATACCATATGACATCATGCTCAGTATATAACTTGGCGGAAGTTAGCCAGGGGTTGTGACTGCAGCTTGGGAACTAGCTGGGCATTGGTGGTCTGCTGGTGGTGATCAATTGTGCTGTGCATAACTGATTTTGTTTTTGATGATGATGATGATGATGATGATGATGATGATGATGATGATGATTTACTACCACCACTATGTTTTTCTGTCATATTAAACTTCTTTATCTCAATCCATGAGTTTTACGGGTTTTTTCCGATTCTCTCCCCCACCCCACCAGCTGGGGGGAGTAAGCAAATGGCTGTGTGGTTGTTTTAGCTGCCTGCCTGGTTAAACCACAACACTAACCTTCCACATATCTAAGATCTTTAAGCTCAAAAAACTGAGAAAATCTTTTTTCCATTTCTGAAGACTTTCTGCTAGTCCTTGGCTTTGCTGAAGCAAGTACTTCATACTTTTGCATTCATTTAATATACAAATTCTAGCTATTTTGCATACTTGATGTAATTACTTTTCCATTTATTTAAACTCATTCATTTGACTATATGAAGTTTACCTCTGATGTACTCTGAAGTTGACCTCTGCTGTTTTGCAGCTGACATACTGGCCTCCTGTTTATCCTTCATTTACAGTGAATCCATCTTTAATTATTGCAACTATTGAACTATTTTCTAGAACCAGTTCTTCTACATCACCCTTATTATTTATCAAAGTCAAATCTGAAACCATCAACACCTTTTGTCTGTTAAGTGAATTCGAAGAAATGTTAGCTATCGCATCTGCAAATATCCAGGTTTACCTGACAATACGTTTCTTTTCTAATCTTCATTTGATAAATTTGATTCTCCCATCATTCTGTTATAGTCTAACTATCAAACCCACTCAACTAATAGCAGAATGACAGGTTTGACCAATATGCAAATCTGGCACAACCCCCAACATTTTTTTTTTTAGTGGAGTCTTTCTTACCATATACTTCTTGTAGTAATTTTGGCAGAAAAACCTTCTTTCCGTGTGGAGAACAATGCTTTAGCGAATAAAGACGGTGTGGGAAATCTGCGATTTCCACCTGTGCACTAAAGCAGCAAAAAACAGCAGTTCAAAGAAAAGATATGCACAAAACAGACCTTGCATTCTTCAGCAGCTCGTAAATAACATGTGACTGGCCAAATCCAGGAAATAAGGAGCTGAGAACAGACTGCCAGGCGCCCATCAGGTGCAAGAGAAAAACAGAATAACAGATCTTGTGGCAAACACAAATCAGGTGATGATTGGGGAATAAAAGAGCCTCCCCTTTTAACAAGAAATACTATACAATCAGAAAATTCTGTAATAAAGTTGATTCTGTACTTGCACCCTACGGAGTCCGTGCCTAGCATACACCACAAATGGCGCCCGAATCAGGACTTGAAAAATAGAAGAAGGACTTGGAAAAGAGAAGAAGGAAAAGCAGTGCGGAAAATTACTGGTGGTGTACCACTGCGTAGCTGGACGGAGGAAACTGCACTGCATCGAGTGCTCATATTCATCACCGGTCGCTGGACGAAACAGGTGAGCAGCCATGGGGAAGTTTTTTAGACTGTCAGACAGAGGCACTAAAAAGAGGGGGCATATTGCTTCTTCAACACATTCCTGTGTTGTATCCACCGAATAGACCCCCCGAATACGTTCATTTACCATATGATGTAATAAAGGAGGTCCGCAAATCGATAAAGGAGTATGGTTTGCAGGCATCATTCACAATGAACTTGTTACAGGTTATAGGAGAATCTTACGTACTGACACCCTTAGATTGGAAATCCATCCTACGTCTTGTGTTGTCTGCAGCACAGTACTCTGTGTGGTTTTTGGAATACCATGAGCTGGTGCAAGTTCAGGTGATGAACAATTTAACAGCAGGCACTGCTATTGGTCTTGACGAGTTAATGGGAGAAGGGCATTATGCTACCGGGATAGCACAGGCTGGACTATCACGGAATATTCTTGCCCAAGCCACAGGGTTAGCCTTGAGGGCACTCCAACGGGTACCAGATTTCGGCAAGCGAGAGTCATCATTTGCTTCCATTTGTCAGGGACCTCAGGAGCCGTACATACAATTTTTGGATCGTTTGCAAACTGCTATACAGCGACAGATAGACTCTTCTGAAGCAGCAGAATTGTTATTGTTTCAGCTCGCTATTAGAGAATGCAAACACGGACTGCAGGCGAGCCATTGATCCTATTCGTAATCACGCAAAAACTTTGAATGATCTTATTAGAGCATGCCAAAACGTGGGCTCTGAGCAACATAAGACAGATATGCTAGCTGCTGCCTTAGCTCAACAGTTGGCAGTTGCACGAGCTGCTACTAAATGTTTCTCCTGTGGTCAGGAAGGGCATGTGAAGAAAGATTGTCCGAAAGCGAGGAGGACGAGGACAAGGAGGGCAGGGAAGACAACTTGCTCGATTATGCCCTCGTTGTCAAAAGGAATACCATTGGGGTAATCAATGTCATTCTAAGTTTGACAAACAAGGCAATCCGCTCCCTGAGAATACCTTGGGAAACGGGAGAAGGGCCGCGAGGTCGGTGCCCCGAGACTACACAACAGGACCCAGCCCCCGCCGGCACAGTCCTTGACGTGGCCGGCAAGATGAACGCTGGCAACTGACTACAGTCAAGTCTCTCAGACCAGCCACAGCAGGCAGCGCCGGGTTGGACCTGGCCACCAGTCAATCCACAGTAATTCGAGATCAGTCAGTACATCTAGTGCCGACAGGAGTGTATGGACCTTTGCCTAAGGGTTTATGTGCCTTATCGCTCGGTAGTTCCTCCACTTCCAGAGCAGGTTTATTTGTTTTGCCTGGGGTCATAGATTCCGATTATACTGGGGAAATAAGAATTATGGTTTGGACCCCTACGCCACCTTGTACTATACCTATTGGAGAGCGAATTGCACAATTGCTTTTGCTGCCCAACACTCAAATTCAAACTAAAAGTTCCGCCCATGTTGGTGAAAGGGGGTCCTCTGGGTTTGGTAGTACAGGTCTGCCTCGCATTTTTTGGACACAGAAGATTACCATGGGACAACCGATGTTGACTTGTAGAATAAATGGTCGGGTGTTCACTGGCTTAGTGGACACCGGAGCGGATGTTTCTATTGTTCAACGATCGGACTGGCCACACGGATGGGCACTGCTGCTGTTACTGGAATTGGAGGGACACAAATACCTTGGCAGAGTATGCATTCCTTGATTGTGGAAGGTCCTGACAACAAACAAGCAGTTTTAAAACCATATGTTTTAACTGTGCCATGTACTTTATGGGGTCACGATCTCTTGCAACAATGGAACATGACAATAACGACATATTTTTAACATGGGCCACTGACGTTCAGCCGTGACTTAAACTGACTTGGTTAACAGATAAGCCAGTATGGGTAGATCAGTGGCCTTTGAAAGGTGAGTGGCTAGAACAGGCTCATGAATTGGTGCAAGAGCTGCTACAATTAGGCCATATTGTTCCCTCCACAAGCCCTTGGAATACTCCTATATTTCTTATTCCTAAAAAATCTGGCAAATGGAGATTGTTGCAGGACCTCCGAGCTATTAATGCAGTGATGGCACCTATGGGGGCCTTGCAGCTAGGAACTCCTAATCCCACTATGATTCTGGACAGTTGGCATTTGAAGGTTATTGATTTAAAAGATTGCTTTTTTACCATTCATTTACATCCTGAAGATTGTGTTCCTTTTGCCTTTTCGGTTCCTGTAATTAATAATGATAGACCCATGCAATGGTTTCATTGGGTGGTTTTACCGCAAGGAATGAAAAATAGCCCAACTTTATGTCAAATTGTTGTTAGTGAGGCCTTGTCAAATATTTGCAAAACATATGATTCAATCATGTTATATCATTACATGGACGATATTTTGTTGGCTGTGGAAACTGAATCATCTCTTTCCCAAGTTTTCGACAGTTTAGTAGCTAAGCTTCAGCGATACGGTCTCCAAATTGCGACAGAAAAGGTACAATCACTGCCCCCATGGAGGTATCTCGGCTGGAAACTTCTTGATTCGCATGTATATCCACAGTCTATACGACTTGCTACTACAGTGAGTACTCTAAATGACTTACAGAAGTTGTTGAGGACAATTAACTGGCTTCGACCACTGTTGGGAATAACGACACACGAACTGTCGCCTTTGTTTTCGTTGTTGAAGGGGAATCCTGAACTAACTTCTCCTAGACAATTGACAGAAGCAGCCCAGTCGGCGCTGCAGACAGTGATAGATAAAATTAATTTTATGTTTGCTCATTGAATTTCTCTACAATTGCCAGTTCGATTGTTTATCATTTATCATTCCTTTCAACCATATGCTCTCCTAGGTCAGTGGGACGAGAAGGTCCAGAAGGAAGAGCATGCTTTACGCATTTTGGA